CGCACCAATGGCCAAGACCTTGTTCAGCACACGCAGCTCCATGACCGGGGTCACTGAGCCATGCTCGGATCACATTCCTGGCACCCTTAGATGGGCAAAACGGCCATTAGCGATTGCAGCTTGAACAGCATAGGATCTTGCACCTTGGTGAAGATGGTGTTTATTGCTGGTGGGGAGGAGATAGCGTGGGTAGTGATGCCCTTCGCTTAGTACGTGTCCGCATGTTTTGCCTAACCACAGGGGATAACAATCTAGTGGCACACGAACAGCATGTGTGTGTGTGTGGGGGGGGGGGGGCTGTTGTCTGAGTAGCACGGAGTGATGGTGCGTGTCGCATAGGGGGCATCGATCAGCTTGCGATGGTATCACTGATCAAACACGCACCATTTGCAGGCTGGGCAATTTTCCGCTCGGCTCCAGGGACCACCACACAATCAAATACAAATGAACCTAAATCAGGTATTCAAATCTTGAGAATGATAACGATGACTGAACATCAACGTCCGTTGCCATCACCAATATGCTAGTAATTGCTCCAGTGTGTTCGAAATCGTACCCAATGATCATGGTGGTAAGGGAATAATGCCTAAACGGGAGCGTTTGCCAGGTCCAGCGAGCGTTGTCAGTGTAGATCGATAGCGCGAGGATAAACAGAATCAGCTGCTTGATGGTCTGCTCAGTGCGGTATGTAAACCAGCCCAGCTAAGTTACACGATCCCATGGTCGTTGCCATCGATCGCTGGTTGAATATCGATGTAGCTGAAATGCGTGGAGTGTGTACAACCATGGGTAGGTATGCAGGTGCGGGGGCGTGGGGAGGAGTGACCATTACGCGTGTACCGTTTTGGTGTTGACTCTCGAGTCAATGGTAATTATTGCAACTAGTTCAACTCTCATCGCTACCATTACGAGCAACGTCACTGTCACGTGACAATCTGACAATTTGTGAACAAACACATGCACACCATAACGGACACGTTTGACGCCGGCAGCGGGAAAGGTCCTCATGAGTTCAGGCTATCAGGGAGGCTGATCCCGATAAAGTTATAACCACTGACTGTGCCAACCCACACAAACTGCTATGCATTGGGTTGGTGGTTTTTCGTGGGTGGCTGCACAGTGTAGCTGCTACGACACGCCAGCCATGTCACCTTTCACACTAATGTCAGGCACAGGCACGTCAAGATAACCCTTTATCGTGAAACGTGTGGCGAACCCAGGCTGAGGGCTGGTGGTAATGTTGCACCAAATCTCCCGAGGATTGGCAAGCATTGGTGGGAAGTGTTGATGTGTAGAACTTTGCGCCTTTCCACCACACACCAATACGTGTTCATTTTGGCGTCCCTCTGGCTTTTCAATTCAATTCGAATGATAACGAGATGGCCCTTAGAACAGCATGTCAGTAGCTTTGTAAGAAGAAAGGTTTGTTCCTGTCTCGTTCAAGCATTGTAGCTCACTAGGAAATAGAAAGCAGCGCCGACTGTGTTGTGTTCGTGTCTTGGATTGGAGCTGTATCGGTTCGTGGACCGTTGTACTAGCAGTTAGCGACAGTGAGTTGTGTAAGCTCGTCTCCGTACACAGTGCCGCATGAACTGGCAGCCGAGAAAGAGTGCGGCACCACCCGCAGAACATGCACTTCCGCCCGATCACCATCCCCAGCAGCAGGAGCATGGGCAGCAGCAGCAGCCGCATCAGCAGCGGCCACCAACAATGACTTTGTAAGTTTGTTTTTGCTAGGTCATTAATATTTCTTAAAAGAAACGATCACTACATCGCACTAGACAGGAGGCGAGTTTGACACTTCGTTTTAGTCATAGTGCTTTGGTCCGGCGCATGCTTGAAGCCTTTTCGTTGCCGTTGCGCATTAACAATGGCTCCAACAAAAAATGATTTCGTGTGACAAGGGTTTAGTGGAGCAGGGCGCCCAAAAAGCAGAGAAACGTCCCTTTCAAAAGTCCAAAGCAAAGGAGCTATACGGACTCGATTTTAAATTAGCTTCGGACTTCACGTTGTGTGAGGTAACCTACGCGCTACAGAAAGGTCCGTTGAGCTGCCTCGGCAGTTTCCGCTGCTATCTTCCCCTCTGTGTTCCGGTCTCTTCCAAGTATTGGTTGTATCCTGTTTGATGCATACACATCAAAGGCACGATCGGTCTATTCATGACGTCATTATTATTAATCTCTACCATTGGGTGCAGCCTGGTAATGTGGGGAGAGGAATGGGTTTGCGGTTTGTCCAAGCGTCCCCGTCACTAGGAATGTCAACGCGTATCGGGCGACACGTTTACGTGTCCAAATCTTCGTTTTGTGCTCGTTTTACTCGTGGCAGCGGACACTGCGTGACGTCATGATGTGGCGACCGTGCACAGGGCGCAGTGGGGTATACATGTATGCAGTGATTGTGAAACAAGGCTTACTTCCTTTGAAGTGCAATGTACAATACTACAGCATGTAGTGGTCGTGTAAGGGCATATTGCCTGTCGTGCCGTGTGACAGGTTCATCCTGGTCATCGGGCGATGTACTGTCTTCGTAGCTTTTCCCTCACCACTCTGTAGCCATAAAAGTATTGAACAGGACGTGTACCCTCATGTACTGTATTGCTCAACGAAATCCGGTCCCGTGAGGCAAGTGTGCGCCCTGCACCAGGTCACCTCCCAATGTTCGCAGGTCTAGGGCTGCACAGAGGCCAGTGTAGCATCAGCTCGCTCGATCGGATTTCATCGTGCGGTACTGTACGTGCATCTGACTGTGGTTATCTATGGCAGTGTGGGATTAATTTGTAAGGAAGGTAGAGTGTAGTTCCTGAGCGCTTGTGCATTGTATTATGATGCGTTTCGGGCATACAGAATAATCCAAACCATACACGCTTGTGATATCCTGTTGGCAACGCACCATGTATGACGTAATCAGCTCTGGACACTGTCCATTGTCTACCCCCCGAATGATGTAATGTAATGTCTCTTCCCTTCGGCTAGGCTAGTGGTGATGATCCGTGAGGGGGATTGACCATAGGGCGCAGCCTTTCCTTCCAGCTACTGTATATCTGATTATAGAGTGGCTGTGGACCTTGTCATAGTGTTGATAAGATTGTCATTCAGTTCCTTTCAAACGCGGTTATCTACATCGCACATAAATAACCCGTGGTATATAGGCACGAACGACCATCTACAAGCGGACATTGATTGATTGCATTTCCCCACCACTACTAATGATGTTAACCAGCCTGATTACGCAATGGACTTGCTCTAGTAGCTTCCTACACTTTCCACGATCGCGAGGCCCATATTTGGCGCGGACTTCCGGCAGTGACATGGTGACATCTTGGCTATGCCTTGTGGGGGCAGTATAAGTTTGACAGGATGGCGAGGAATGAAATGATACGTGTTGCGCAAGCGAACTGTAGACATTTTGGTGCGGCCCATGGAGACAGTAGTGGGGATATTAATCTTCCCGCAGTGCACCAGGAATCTGTGCGTGGCTAGGGCGAGGGATAGAGCCGATGCATGCCTATGGTCATGTAGGTTTGTCTGCACCGACACCGACCTTACTGCACGGTCTGAAATGCTGTATCCCAAAGCCATAGTTATCAGTAGAATGTGTTCGTGTAGTAAAGTAAGTATGTCACCAATAGAAACGGCAGCAAGGGCTGGGTCGGATCTGGAAGATGAACAACTGTAGCCAGTCTCAACGTCTTCCTGTATAAATGTCGTTTCTTGAATCTGGAAATTCTCCAGTCGGGCTTCAGTGATGTTGTGTGCTCAGTTGGAAGACAGCAGCGACTGAAATACTCACCGTCCGTCCCCTTACATCATGCATTGGTAGTACACGACGATGCACATAGCGTGTATGTGTTAACCAGCTGGCAATATCAAGCTCTATACCCGGACGGCCGGATGTTTGGACAATCACGAATAGCGTGCGCGCGCGTGTGTGTGTGCATGTATGTGTGTGTGTGTGCATGTGTGTGTGTGCTTGTGTGCATGAGGGGTTGCGATTTGGAGATACAGAGAGCGTGTGATACAGCATGCGTGTGTGAAAGACAAGGTGCCAGTTCCGACGGTGGTTTGTCTCTCGCAACCACTACGACGTGTAGGTACATGTACACGAAACCGCCATGGACGTAAATACATTAATGTCATGTCCAACGCTTTGACACATCAGCGCAAGTCTAACATTCCCAGTTTGCACGTAACAGGATCTTGACCAGCAACACGACACCTCTACTGTGGCTGGGATTTGTCCCGCGAGTATTGGGAGTCTACAGCTGCGGAACGAACTGCATGGATGGATTACTCGCTAACTGCACACTCTGGAGTAACCGTAGAAACTTCGGCCAGAAGAAAGGCATAGCAAACTGCACTGGGAGCAGAGCAAGCTAAGTCACATGTTCGCAATGTGAAGCAGCAATATGATACCGAGACATCATAAGCTTTGGGACTTCTTCGATTCAATCAGGGCGTGTGTCTGGTGATGGAAAGCTGCAGGAAACGTCGCGCTGTCCTAACAAGGACGACATGACCATGTGGTAGTGGCTGTGATACGGGTGACGGGTTCAGCTTTTTGTGGCTTTCTCGCTGTCAGGGCCAGACGAACTCAAGATCAGAAACTTTCAGATTTCTTCGTGCTGTCCAGGTACATTGTGCCTATCCATGTCCCTAGTTTCACGCATTCACTGGTCGGGCAACGAGCTACGTTTCGACGGAGTCTCACTATCATTGGACTGGTCACGTCTCGGCGTGGCCGGTCGTCCAGGCGGCTGTTTATCACCTGTCACTGTCGCCCGCGGCGTGAACACAAGCCATTCTCCACATGCCTGACGCTCAGCCCTCCGTGGAAACGGTAAACATCGTCAGGCACGCAAACACATACACACGTGCACGCGCAAGCAACGCACGCACGCACATGTCTTCATGGACGTCTAAGGGTATCACGACAGCGACGGCCAAGGTCACAAGAAGTCACTCCAGCGTCCAATCTGATACCACAAAGTCCAGCAGCCATCTTGCCCTGCACACAGTGAAACATGATCGGATTGGACTATCTTAATTTCCTAGCCACCCATTTGGTTAGCACGAGGCTTTAGAAGGCAGGGTAGCTCGTATTGATTGCAAGTACTGATATCACAGCCTGATGCTAGTGGTGATATCAGATCTCATGGCCCCTCAGCCGTGAACGCATACCTGCGTGTCCAGCGGGCCAACTGTATGATGTGAACTCCAGTCGCACTATCATTGGATCTCCTGGAGCCTTCCTCCACACGTGTATAATATACTATGTGGGCCACTCGTCCGGTGATCTTCCCCGATTCAAATGTGGGTTTTCTCCCGTCTGCGGTTCAGCGAAACTTCCCTCATACGCAGCGCCCTCACAGATGAGAAGCTTGTTAAAATTCAGTTTCACATCGAGCTGCGGCAATACAGGAGCGTCTCACAATCGGCTGAAGATGGTCATGTCGAGTTTTATCCTCTCAGTTCGCCGAAGTCACTGAAAGACGTTGCGTGGCGATTGCCCTTTGGTAAAGTCGCATGTTTCACAGCGTGTTATGCCCTGGTACCATCGTCAAGCCATTGAAGGTTGCCAGAAAACACACTTTTCCTTTCTGTAAGGTCCGCAGGAACGCCGGCAGAGTACTAAGACTGGCGTGTATGTATCCGCTGACTTAACACCCTACACGAGACTAGGGTCTGAACTAGAGTCGGCTAGTAGGCGTGTTGTAGTTAGAACCACCACTGCAAGCTGTTTATGCAGAGCACAGTGGTGACAAGCGACATTCAAGTGCGGGCTGAGTACCGCCTTCGTTCAGCTAAGAGGACGTCCTCTTGCCAGTTTCCCTCTCTGTCTTGCTCTATCTTGGCCTACCCAGTCGGGAGGCCAAGCTGCCGGCCGACACGATTGAGCCGAAACATCATCTTCACGACCATCCGCATCACCACCAGCTGCAACACCATCACGAAAACCGGCGGCAGCATCAGCAGCAGCAACACGAGTCTCACGACCACCACCACAAGGAACAGAGGTAAGAACACGCAAAGACCCTCCTGCGAGTCCTGGCAGTAGCCCTATCGCCCGAAGCATCAACGCCATGTTTACCTGACACAACGTCACACAAGCTACCGCTCTACATCGTGTAGAGGTGTTTGTAGATACATGGGGCCCAAGGTTCAAAATAGATTTACGATATCACCGATCTTGTAGTCAGTGCTAGGCAGTGTCTTAAACTCCATTGACGAACTACTTATATTTCCAATCGATGAAAGTTGTACAAACAAAAGTCAAGGAAATGGAGCAAGACCTTGGGCGTGGGCATTTCATCATCTCTGCAGGATCATAATATCGCAAGATCCTTGAAAGATCAAAAACCATCACTAACATCATTGAGTTTAAGCACCAAAATGGTCAGGAACCACCGCCGCTCCCCCCCCCCCCCACAATTGAGATGTGTAGCTTCGTGTCCGTTTCTTCGTGGAGAAATCTGAAAGCAACGTCTCACACTATTGCAAGTAGTGTCTGTGCGTGGCACACAGCTATGGGTGGTGGACACTAGAGGAGCGTTGCATGTAGTTGGTATGATTCTGTGCAAACGATCACGGCCCGGCGAATAGTATAATTTATACATTCTGGCGCAACACCTTCAACCTGCACAGAATAGAATTTGCTACGCTGCGATGTGAAAATGGACACCATAAGTCCGATACGCACTACACCAGATCTAGCCACGTTCCGTGCAATGTTAGTTCCCATGTAATGACCGTTAGTTCCCTTGTTCTCGTAATGTTAATACCCGTGTTTGCGTATCACTGGGTACCAATCGCAGGGGAAGTGTTTCCCTGCTTGCTGCCGCCATTTTGGCCGCACATGTGGCAAATCGAATCATTGGCCTTGGCAATAACCCAGCTATGCCCCCCGCTCACATTGACCTTGCAGGCCACTACAAGACACTAGGAAAAAACCTGCACAAAACGAACAGTGCAGAACGGCATCTAGAGTGTGGTTTTAAGGCAAGCCTGTAGTACCCATTCAGTGTGGTGTGAGTTGGAGGGTGGTGTGAGTGAGTGATACTTTAGGTGCATACTATAAACAGGCTGGATTTGTGATATTAGCTGTTAGTCCTGATGTTAGCGGTGATAAGAAGTGAACCGTATAAACTATAAACCTTCTGTTCTGCTAGTGGTTAGCCATAATACAAGTATTTCTATCGCGAGGCGTCGGTATCGGGTCTACATGTACGTGGCTGCAGGGTGTTTTTGGGGAAATAATTCCGTGCAGCGTGTGATGAGCATAAGCGTGTGTAACAGAGTAGGACTTCCGTTGTATTACCCACCATAAGTACAAGACGAAACATTATTGAATTCCTCAGGTTCAGAGTCTCGCTTTGTTCCATTTAGATGCGGAGTGGGCAGGAGTTTGAGAAGACGTCAGATCGACTTGGTTTACTCCCCTTGGCCCTACTACCATCACGACAGAAATGCATAGTCGCACTTCGCGTGTGCCCGTGTCCCGGTCTAATTAACTTCATTACGGACTAGAGCGCTGTGGAGTATGTCTTGACGCACCCTGTGCTTAGAAGTATCGAATGGACAAGGAGACCTTCGCCTTATATGGAGATGTCCAGATCAGCATGCATGTACAATGTATGTACGCATGCACGCACCTGCTCTGTGGAATGGACAAGAGGCATGTCCATTGGAGTGTTGTGCCCATGTACATTGGACATGTATGTGCCTGTGAACTCTTGGCCATGATGGCACATGTCGCACCTGGTCTTGGTATGACGTCAAGTCCAATACCACCAGCCATATGTAGCGTAAAAGACCTCCTCCCCTCTGACAAGTGTTGCCTCGTGTAAACAGCAGTGTAAATGTGCTTGTAATGCGGGTGCGGTCTGATGCGAGAAATACTACGCTTAGTTAGATATTCATTAGTTGGGATATATAATTATGTAGTTCCACTGGATTTTCGTTTGTTGGGGCATAGTCCTGTAGGTACATTGTACAAAGTTCAGGTTTCAATTTACATCAATTTTGATTAGGAATCCAGTGCTACTGAGAAACATGTGGATGGCAACATAAAAAAGACATAGGGCCTTTAGGGGTATGGACGACGTGCAGACCACTGTGAGCAATGCAACCGATCAGAGGTCTTTATCGATCGTGTATAAGTGCGTGTATTGTGCTTGAATTACGATTGTGTGTATGTGGTCAGCATGATTGCACAATACCCTAGACTGCTGATATGTCTGTAACCGCGAAGTGACATGGCACACAACGAAATTACCGGTACCAGGACGCGAAACTTAGTTTTGCAAGCGTTTTGTTGGAGTGATTAGGACGATAGGCTGCACACGCAAATAGTGGTCATTGTGGGGTAGAGTGGTAGTTGCCAGTATGACTAGAAACATGATTGCGATGATGAATATACCAACCATCGGCTTTATAAGGACATCCTCTACGCCAGTACTTGATACAGTGTGCCAAGTGTAACGACAACCTAGTAGTGGAAAGAATGCCATTGTGTCAGTTGTTTGACAACACCATGATCTGGCAAGAACTCACCACATTCAAGACATGTGTGCAGGTAATGTCAGCGGAACGGCAACGAAGCTCCGCGAACAAAAGCGCGTCGTGTGCAGGTGGGAGACGGACACAAAGCTAAAGGCAGGAGTGCGGTTGAGCAGCTGTCATGCTGCCCTTGTTGTTGTACAGAACTCGTACATTGTGTGTGCTGGTTCGGCTGGAGCGGTAAAAAAACAGCGTTTGCTCCGAGATGACGGGGTTCGCTGCCTATTGAAGATGTCGACACGCCTGAGCTGTGGCCCTGAGTATGGGTTTCAAGCTCCATTGGGCGCTGCACACGGCTAACTGTGTTCACTGATCAGTCAGTTTCACATGTGAGTGCCAGGGACAATTAAAATCCAAGTGGCCCTGCTGGCCTGGTGAATTATTTGAAGTCCTTTTCTTCATTCAAAAGCACTACAGCGTGCAGCAGCCAGGAGGGTACAGAGGAGCAGATCTTGACCACGGTGCCACTGGCATGCTTGTCCACAAGATCTGCAACCCAGCCCAAGAAAGGCGCAGCCATGGCTTTCAATTTAGACTTTAGTGCCAACAACATGATCAGGATGATTGGGTCGTTTCCTACTTGGACTCGAGAGTGGTGTGGTAACGATGACTAAGTTCTGGGTACATGTACATGCATGATCTACTGGTTGTCCCTAGTACATGCATCACTAGGACTGGCCATGTTCTCGCAGAGGATGACGAGCTGGTCACGCGGGAATCATGCTAGTTGCCCCAGTGAAATCCAGTTTGGAATAAACTGCTTGTAAGTAATAGGCGTATAATAAGGCGTATGCTAGTGTACCCTCGCCCTGCTCTGGGTTTGTGACGCAAGGACAAATACAGCGTTGATTAATCTAGTTAGCCAGGTCAGGCGGGCTTCGAAGTCACTGTGTGTACACGGCTACTGCCCAGCAGCTCTACAACTCCGTTTTGACCTTATCCTCAGACTAAAGTCTGGCCTATTGGCATCTGGCAGGCTGAAAATGGCCAGTTCTCCCAGCATGGGGCCTCCCCTGTGCAGCTGCCTTTGAATCCTGTGTGACTAGCAGCACATGTGCAGTTTTCAAATCTAGACTAAGACTGTAAGCACTGAGCTAACCAAGCGCTGGAGTAAAGACGGAAGTCAGCAAAGGAGGACACTTCGAAGCCATGGTGAAGGGCACTTAGAGCCTCTTTGGGTTGGGCGAGTGTGTGACCGTTCTTCCCCAATAGACTACACTACAGGCTGCTAGTAGAACGCGAGCACATGACTATGCGAGTATCAAACACTAAAGAAACATTGCTTTGCACCGTGAACCTTGGGTACTTGGCTAGGGGCGATTCACACAACACTCAAAAGACTCATTTACAAACACTGCAGGCTATTGATACATGTGCTGGAGCAGCACAATCATGGCAATTCGCGATTCGAAACAGGGGAATCACCAATAATTAACAACGGCTTAAGTAATTGGGTTCAGGACAGGATGTGCTGCAAATGAATGTAGATTCAGAGCAACAGAAAGGTGGCGTCGTGGCAACTTCAATTCTATGACTGAGCTGCGCAGTGGCCATGAATCAGGCGAAGGCAAACCTGACTTTACAGACCTTTAACCAGATTGTAAGGGAAACACCCGCACTGCAGTGTGATACAGATCGGCCGAGCTTTTGTTTGTCAGTGCAACTCACATGCATGTATTGTTAATTACATGTATATGTGAGTCCAATTTGTCCTCTCGTCAATGATAATAATGTAATTGACCCGGGAGGAGTCGTTTTTTGTTTGTGATAGCATATTGTCAAAATCACGCCTCTCTTAACACCCTCCGCCCTAAACTCATCATCTCTAAAAAAGAAGCCAACGGAGCATGATTTTGTATTATGAGAGACGGTCATTGTCGGTATGTCAGTCCACTGTGTCCTGCGTCCTATGCCGTGGCCATGCGTTCGACACTCACTTGGTCGCCACTCAATGTCACCAAGCTTACTCTTGTCGTTTGCTGGTCATGTGAAACGACCCGAGGAGGCCAAAAGCACTCCTATGCTCTCTTATCCATGGCCGATAGAGCTGTGTCAATGTTATAGTTTACTCCCGACCTAGCTAGGTCTCGCAACGTTCAACTGGAGCAAGACACTCAAGGGCCCCGCGAACGTCAGCGAATCGCTAATGAAGAGAATGCACTTGCTGTGGGGGCGCTACAAACTAGTGCGGTATTGACCATACGACCAGGTTTAGTGAGGTGCAGCCTGCGGAGAGGAATTCTGGCCAGTGCATATTGCGTACTACCAGTATGTAAGGGATGAATACTTGAGAACCGGTCCTCTCAGGACTCTATCTCTTCCTGAGGATAGTTTGTTTACAAGTCCAGTTGTGGATCAGTGTATTAGAAGTAGTGTAGCTGGCCTGTAGCCGCATTCCTTGGTCTTCACACTTTGTCGTTGGCCGTCATCCGGCCGGTAAACACATAAGCGGAGGCTC